GTACTGATCTCCCCCCCTAATCGAAACGGTCCACTTTATGCTATTTGTACAATCTATAAAACATTGGAGGTATAAACTATTGAAATACACAGCACAACCAAAAAATCCATGTTCAGTTAGTTTCAGCCATGTTTGGTAAAGACGGCGGTTCATTGACCAAGATGCCGACTCGTTTCCAGCAGTTGACCACCGTTGTCTGCGTCACAGAACGCCATGCCTCTTTGGCCCACCCCATGGCTTCTACAAGAGGTACATCATATAGGTGATTCTGACGGCCGCTCATCACATTGTCGATTTGATCCAGGGCGTGTTGAAGCTGCCGCTGCTTCAGCTTGGCCTTGAAGGAGGCGATAATTCCCGCGTCCTGTGGCTGGAGGTGAGCTGTCGTATTTTTTGGCAACATCTTGACTTCGACGTTTGATAGCCGAACTGAGTCATCGACCTTGTGCGACGGCGCGTTATCGACCAACATCAAGACATGTCGATTTTCTGCCGCCATGCGTTCATCCATCGAGCGAACAAAAGAGGTAAAGACACTGCTATTCATCCATGCTTTCTTGCTTGACATGTAGTTGAAACCCAGAGAACTTGGCGATGCACCGTTGAAGCAACGAGGCCGAGCTGCTGAGCCGATGAACAGCGGGTCCACGACATCCGATCCGTCAGCGTTCGTGGTAAGGGCGATCGTAATTCTTTCTTTTGACTTTTTCGTCCCAGGAACCCGGCTTCGAGTAATGGATCGGTGAGGGGACATTCGGTAGAAAAATGATGTCTCATCCATATTGTAGACATCGCTCTCCGTGTAACCACTGGTTGTTGTGCGCATTGTGGTTCGGCCCGTCTGGACAGCCTCTGGGGAGGCCGAAGCTGCCTCGCCGTGTTGCACCTTGCTGGTGAATCCGTGTCGACGTTGAAACTTGTATAACCATCCTTTCGAAAACAATAGGCGCTGGTTCTGGGGGATTTGAAGCTTGTCACAAACGATATCGGCTTGTTTCCGGATGAGCTCGCCGGTCAGGCACACTCCGAGTTCTTCGCAGCGCAACACCCATTGCGCAACGGCTGTCTCGACCTCAGGCATTATGACGCTGCGATCAGAGCGCCTGGTGCCGCTGTCGGCTCGCTTGCTCAGCATAGAATGCCGTTTCAGTGCGTGACAGATTGTAGATTTAGATGGGACACTTGTAAGCTGAAAAGATTCTTTGGCCCAGCTCGCGAGCTCAGAGTATGTTGCTGACGGATGCTGCATGTGATGCATGTACAGCTCATGCTTCTCGGTCAATGTCATGCGCGCTTTCATGTTTGGTGTGAGGTTTGAATTTCAAACGTACTTCGAAATATAATATTATAATATTTCAAGTTATATTCACTTTGACCCGTTTCGTTTAGGGGGGGAGATCAGTACTATTATTTTGTTTTGTGAGTGTGTCCTTGAACCTCACAAAGTCCGTTGTGGGATCCTATTGGGCCATACCTAAAGTGAGAATTCACAATAAACTCATTTTCAATGGCGTTCAACAAACTATAAAAATTCATAAAACGGGTAAAAGTCTATTTTGACAGTTTCTCGTGATATCATTGGCTGGTTCGACAGTCTCGCTAAACCATGCCCTTCAAGTCAACCTCGAGCCAAGCCTATAACAGGTTCAAGAAGTATTGGTTGTGTCTGCAGCCGAAAATTACATGGCTATGGTTGAGTAAACTGTCGAAGTCTACATGTACGAGACACATAATTGTGACATCCTGTTGAAGGTAACTCTATTGACAAGACAAAACTTCGAAGTTCCAAATTCCACCAAATTGTCAAATTACTTGATTAGAGTATACATAGACAATGTAAAAAAACTTGATTTTTATATCTACTCCGAAATATAATGGATGCAAAAAAATATTCAAGCGAATTACCCAAGGCATCAACTTCTACGTCAATCGAATTTTGCAAACGAGCCAAGGCGCTCTCGAAGGACGAGGCGTCAAACTCGACGTCATACGACGCAAAATCGGCAATACAGGACTGCACGTGACCGCGGAAGGTGGTGGCATCCTTCAAATCTTTCGATGGCTGCGCTAGTTTCCGCCCTTCAAGCTGTGACTTACCATTGTCGTGGCATCGTGGGCGGGCCGATCCTCGACCAACGCGCCATCGAGCGATTCCGTCTAGGGCGGCGGTTGTTACAACACTGGGTTGGTCATCGACGTGACGTTTGCCGCTCTCTATGTCACGGCTTTGTGGCTTTGTGCAGGTCGGACATTTTCTTGGTTTGTTGCGCACAATCGTGAAGCAAGTTGGCGTTGTCTAGATACGACTGGAGTAACTCCACCCCGTGCAGAGAGACTGGGTCTAAACTTCACCCCCTCCTTGACGGCAAACATGAATGCTCTGACCACAATGATACAGACGATGGAGAAGCCAAGGAAGGAAGCCTGACAACGAAGGGGAATGATGCTCGCGCGGCATCAACTTTGGGTACGAACGTAATTAAACCAAACATGCGATTGATTATTGCACCTGGGGCGTTCATTTGTTTTCTAGTAAGGATATAGTGCGTGTTTTGAACGGCAGGTGGGTGATCCGCAATTTCGCGCAAGATTGTACAAAGAGACAGTTAGACGTACTCGAAAAAAATGCCTCGTGACAGCTTGGCATGTAACATTGGTTTGTCTGCAGCGAAAACGCTATCCTGTGGTTTTGTCCAAATGTTATGACTCGCTCGGAAAAAACTGAACAAATATTGAGAGAAGTAATGCATACATCAATACAAATTACAAAATTTTGAAATGATTATGTGGGACTATGAAATTGGTCGCTTTACTCTTTGGACACGAGGCAAACAAAACAGCAAGCTGACCTACCATCAGGTGGCTCCGCGAAGAATCCGCGGTGTCCGCAGTCAAAAGAGACTGACCATGATACAGTGAATGATTGCCGATGGGGAAGAAAGCCTCGTCTGGTTGCCAGTCTCTCATCTACGAAGACTCTGTCTCAGTGACAGTTTGGTGTAGTAGAAGTATTTACTAATTGTGAATGCACTAGAAGTATGCCCTCACTTCGCTTTTCAACATGGCCACTTGGTCAGGCAACCACAAACTCGCGCGATGGGCTATGGAACTCCAAGGGCTTTACTACAGGATAATCCATCCGTCTGACAAACTCAATGGCGCCACATATGGTCTCTCCCGAATTGTGTGCCCTGTGGTGACACGCAGTGCTATGCGGCTGACCGGCAGTAACACATAAAGCCGTCGGTACCAACCTACCTCAGGAGTATCTAGTTGAATCTGATGCGCAACCAAAGATCATGATCCCGATGGAACTGTTCGATTGGCGAGGACGACCATCCCGAGAATATACAGCGAACACGCCCAATAAATACCCTTGGATCGTGGCGCTATGGGTGTACCTGGATGACGGTGGACTTCCTCTCGCTCACACTTGTTAAACTCGTCGAACTAAATGAACAACAATACACGATCAGCTCAGGGATCGTAAGTCGCAACGTTACTCACAAGACTCCGAACTCGTATTGATGCCCGTAATTCCTTACGTACTGGTGGAATTGGTCATATACACAAGTCATGCCATTAACTTCCCTGGACAAGTGAGATTCACAAAGACACATTAACCGATTTGGTGAACAGCCTACTGGGTGGACTGACAACATACTACCTCTGTCCAGGGATGATTGCGACTTGAAATTCGATAGACTTAAACATATTGGATTCTGTATCCATTTCACACTACTGA